GCGCTAAGAAGCCCAAATTTCGCTCTCTTGGATTGGGGGGGGGGGGGGGGGCAAAAAACGTGAGAAAACTGGCACCCTCCGCCTCGGCCCAAGACAGTAGAAAAAGTGCGGCACCTTACCAGCAGGGGCAACTCTAAGTCCTAGCACGTGGTTCAATTATCCCGGTAAATACGGCACTATAACTGTCCCCCCCGTTCTGTCTTGTTCTGTCCTAGGGAAACTCGCGAAGGCTAGAGGAGGATATGGCATGCACTGCTCATATTGTGGGTTAGGTGGGATGTATTTTAGGTGGGACGTTACAGTGTGTACTCGAGTAGAGGGGGGTATATGGTGGGGAGGGGAGGAGGCCCATAGGAGAAGGATGAGCTAACTTATTTTGTTTTTTTTACATTGCGAGTACTCATACTGTATTGTGTGAATATCTTCAGGGGTGGTGCAGCAGCAGCATAGAGGGGTTTGTAAACCCAGGATAGAATTCTTGTGGGTGTGCTGAGTGAGTTTTAAACGGGCTTTTGCGTGACCCACTGGCAGGGTACATGATACAGTAAGTGCCCATGGTACTGTAGAGTGGCATGAAAACTCCGGAGCAAGGTATCATGGTTCTCCTGTTTGTTTGCTTCTACTCTTATGCATACGTCACCTCTCCAACCCCTCGACTTTTCACTCACCGGAGCCTTACTCTCAGCTATTTCTCCTCCTCCTCCCCACCCTTCCTTCCCTATTTCACTCTCTCTATGAGCACATTTCCCTCAGTAGTTCATCCCCTCTGCTGTCTCCTCCGCTATACCTAGAGTACATGGGATTTCTGTAACTTATTCAGGGATTTCTTCCGGCCCGGGGGTTACTGTCTTGCACCTATGCCTGCCCCGCTCCCCGTGCCTAGTTCGGGATTTTCCAAAGACCACTTTTCCCCGTGGGGGAGGCAGTTTGTCGTGTCTGGTATTTTTCAGACATCATTGAGCTGGTTTTCTGCATCCTATACAGGATCTGGGGAGTCTCGGGTCCCGGGTTCTGTGGTGGAATTATATGGGTTAGCCGGGGGTGATGTGGAGGTGTGCGGTTTAACAGGCGTTTATGATTTTGCTGTGGGTTGAGTGGGAGTGTTTGTGGAGGGGAGAGTTCTTCACCGAAGAGAAAGGTAAAGATCCCCTGTGATAGGCTAGCCGGGGGCCTGAAGTGCGGGGTCTCCGCCTGCAAGTTTTAGGCGTTAACACTTTCAGCACTCTTCTAGCATATTAGGCTCGATAGTGAGCCGACTTCCTCTGTACCGAGGGTCCCCGCAGCGGGTTTTTTCAGAAATAGGACATTTACCCGGTTTGGGGTTCATGGGCTGTGACGACTCGGCCGAACCGCGGTGAGCCCACGGTATGAAGCTCCCTATTTGTTGTGCGGTGGGTGATACACATTTTATAATACCAGGAAAATATAACATTTCTCTTGCTGCCTTTGCCAGGTGTCACATTATTTCTTTCACGAACCGACTGGCAAAGCCTTCGGCAAGCTGTCGCCTCGCATGCGACACTAACAAATATCATTTATCTTCCTCTGTTGGACTGGCCGACCTAGACGGCTTTGCGATTTGGCGGTCCCTCGGTTCAGAAAATACTAGCTGTCTGCTCGTCACCCTCATAACGGAAGACGTGGCGGTTCAAATCTATAGAACATTTCAGGATCTTAGCATACGCGTACAAGGCCGACTTTCCTACGGCTGTGTACCGGAGTTATTGCTGGTGATCATTAAGGTATTTCTTAGCGCCCCCCGTTTAGTCACAGGTCAGAGTTTATTTCAGAACATTGGAACAAGGATTGGGGGAATTTCAGGAAATTTACCTAATTACTTGATTCCTCTCGCAAGTGCTCATTCTGGTGTCCCTGGCCGGCGGAGTAAACAGGATAGAGGAGGGATTAGTCTGGCTGGTGCACGGCTGGGAAAGAGTGATTGGCCATCACTAAGGATAGAAGTAGGATATTCGGAGGGCCTAGTGCCGCTTCGGCGTGGTGTTGAATGGTGGTTGGGGAATTCTGGAAGGCAAACCAGAGTGGCAGACATGACACATTTCAACAAACAATAATTCCTGCTCGCTGCGGGTCGAATGTTGGGAAAGGATCCGAGATCCTAACCGAAGAGCTACAAGCAGTTTGATGTGCCAAGATATAATAATTTCTCCGGAGTTGAGGGTGCTGGCGGTGCCACCACTCCAGGGAATGGCGATTCCGTATTGTCAAACACGAAAATCTTTTACAAGTACTCGAGTACATTACGACAAATTGCGTTGACAACTTTAGTGACACGGCCAGCAGGCCTTTGCCCTGTATTTATAGACCTCTCTGTACCATAGCAGTCTACAAGGAGGAACACTCCCTCCAACACCTTACTGCAGGAGTCTCCCATAGCATCGTGCCGTCTTTGATGCACTGCATCTAAGCTGGGTTTGTATTACGATGCCCATAAGTAGACCGTCGGTCTGGGAATTGTGCTTTGGGATGTGGTTTGGTTGAGGGGAACAGGAAAGATGGGATATACGAACGAAGAGTGGATGGATGGACTAAGGGGATAAGGACAAGAGAGAAAGAGCAAGGGGGGGAGAATGAATGCTGAAAGTAAATGAAGGAATAAAGTTTAAAGCTGCGGATAAATAGGTAAATTGTGAGGATGAATGAATATATAAATGAATGGAGAAAAAGCCCTCTCCCCCTCCTTCTCCATCACGGCCCTACTAACCACCGGAATCCCTCTAGCAGGTCAAGTCCGCCCTTACCAATAAAGCGAATAGAAGTTACTGCTGCTAGAGTGTACAGAGAATAGTCGGAATGCTCCTCGAAGTCGATCAGGGCAGGGTTGATACCTGGGATGTTCACACACTCCGCATCTCTCCGCATCTTTGCCATTCAAGTATGGGTTAATTTGGTCTCCGGAGAAGTCATCTTTGTCAACACCAGCCATCTGGGTGGCCAATGACACGGCACCACACGCGGGATTTCCCACCGCCCATAACAAGAGAAGTGTAGGAGCAAAACACACCCACTTCAACGACCGGCGCTAATATCGGCGATTGAACAGCCTAGAGCATTGAACCGTCCGGCCGGTTAATCATTTATCTTAGATTTGCCTATCGGGCATGGGGTTAGGAGGTATGCTGTTCTAGGTATGATATCTGGTTTCGGGATGTGCGGTGGGTAGGCACAGGATATTGGTTCTTGGCGTAGTCCACGCCAATTGCCGTAGGACATCAGGTATCGGGTATTCTGTTTGCGTTCTTTCGTTCACGCCCTGCGCCGTCAGGGATAGGGTTTTTGGTCTGGGGCGTCGTGGAGAATCATGGGATATCCGGAAAGTCCTGGATTGTTGGAGGGAATCGCGGAGCATGATGATTTGTCGGGATGGCGCGTTTGCTTTAGAGTTCGTGGAGTCTGTTTTGGCTTCCGGAGCAGCTGTTCGCTATTCGGAGATGTTATAACTTTTATGATATCTCCTCCTGGTCCGTGCTTGGCTAGCATCTCCATCAGTCGTCTATTCCTCTCGGCGCTCAGCTGTGTTTAGCCCACCTTCCGTGCTCCCGTTTCTTCGTCCTTTAGCCCATTCTTTTAGGTTTGGTTGGTTTGGTTATTGGATCGGGAGCAGCCACTCACCAACTTATGCGCAAGTTCCACTACCTATCATGCGGCCGCGGACTCTACCGCGGTGTACTGTGCTGATATGCGCGGGTTATCCCTCCATACCGCTACCGCACCACACCATATCATTCCATAGACCGGCTACCAGTACTGCTTCCTCGCCCCCCCTCCCCCATCGTGTATCCGACGGTGCCTACCTACCTGGAATTCCCAAGGGAGGTTGGGACGACCCTGACCCGTGTCATGCATGACTTACGATACCCGGGCGCGGCTCGATTCTTTTCTTTCCCGATTTCTGTTCTGTCGCTGTGATGCGCTATACAGGGGGGGGGGGGGCATTCTCCCACTTAACTTGCGCGGTTTACTCTCGAGATGTTCATCGCTTGTACTGTGCTGTGCTTACTGGTGCTGTATGATGCTCGTGGTGCCGGTCGCTTGGCCTGGGTTGTGTGTTATGGTGTGTGGGGGGTCCGAGTGCTGCGTTGACCTTGGCGTTACTATATTTCGGATTTTGTTGAGGGGAGGGTTGTGGATATAGTGCTTGTATTATACTTGCAGGTTTCGAAAGCATCCGGAGGTCCCGGGAAATGGCTGGGGGGGCGGGAACGAGACATCCGACGGTCTTCTTAGGGCGTTATCTTGTTTTTTTTTTCTTTTTTCTCTTCTCTTCCTTTCTTGTTCTTACCGATCTCTCTTGCTGGATTGGGGTGGCCGATAAAACTTCGGACATACTATCATGTTTTTATGAATCCCAAGTGCTGTAGTACATGAGTGAGAATTCATGATCGGATAGAAACACTGGTATCGTACTACTTCTTTTTTTGGGGGGGGCAACGGTGGTACTCACCGCACTATTGTATACAATGGATGACGAAAAAAGAAAAAGAAAAAAAGAACTGACTCAAAGGTGCATTGCGCTCTCTCTATATATGTGTGGACGTGACGCGTTACTATGATAAAAAGTCTGAAGGATGTTTGTTTGTATGTATCCTCACCATGCAAGCGCCTTCTGCAAACTTCTTGGCAGAGTAATAATCCTCTTCCCCTTCCTCCCCCGCGCCTTCCTCCGGCAATACCTCAGCCCTATGCACATCGGGTGTGCATGCACAGCCATTTCTTCTTGTCGTCACTGTACAGTATATTCGATCGTTTTGGGTTGCATGCAGCGTACAGGACTGTACCGTAGAACACACCGAGTACCGGTTTGTATGTGGGCGAGGCTGTAATCCAATCTTACGGGATGTGTACAATGCGGCACCATGTGCACTGGGGACCGTATGCATGAGTCACTCCCGACCAGGCACAATCTTGTGAGAAAGGAAAAGAAAGAAAAAAAAAGTGCTTTTATAGAATTTCAGACATAACTTTTAAAGCTCGCGTTATTACCGATGGGGGAAATGCTTGTATTGGGCTAATGCAATGGCGTAAAACAAGTTTGAGCAAGGAAATAAAGTGTGAGAAAGGGAGGAGGGGGGGGGAAAGAAAAGAGAAAGTGAAAGAGAGCACGGGAGAAAAACATGGTACGTCTCCACTGTCCTGCAGCGGCCTTTACTATTGACTCATCTGGTTGGAACCGCCTGCTGGGATCTTTCTGTGTCATGGGCAATCCAATGGAAGGGGGAAGATTTGAAATGAGGAGGATGAATGATAGATAAAGGTGCTCTGCCCCTAGTTTTCAAGCCTCTTGAGCCCAAGCTTTCGACAGCCACTGTTTGAAGCTCAGGGTTTTCACCTCGGGGAGGCAGTCGTTCGCGTTTGCTCCTAGAAAGTCTAGCTCGCCTCTTTGTGCGGCAATCAATGCCTCGAGTTTCGAGACTTTCTCCCAGTCTTCCGCTTCTTCGGCGTCGATGGCTTGCTCGTGAAGCTCCTCGCTATCTATGATTGTGACGCTGAAGACACGGTCTTCTCTTTGAAGTCAGCTTCGGCCGGCCAGCATTTCAAAGATGGGATACGTCAATCTTACCCTTGACAGCTTCAGCTATTCTGACAAAATCGAGCAGCTTAAGTCTTTCACCACGCATCCTGAGCTGCTCTGGCCAGGCCTCCATGCTTAAGCATTTTGCCACGAAGCTCCCCACGTCTGCTGCAGCAGTAAAGCAAGCATAAACATCACTCCCCTTCTCGCTATAGGCGGGGATGGTGGCCCTCTCATTTCTAAAATCCAACATGTAACACGCTTCATCTCCAACGAAGACCCTACTGGTAGGCGTTGTCTCGAGAATGGTTCCGGCACTCACTCCGGATCTGGAGAGCCCGCCTGGTCCGAACCATTCGTAAAATATTCCGCAACAAAAGGCAGTTGATTGCAACCTCTCTTTGACCTCGCGAAGCCGGTTGAGGGTGTCTATCTTTTTCCTTCCCTGCTCGATCATTGGGCGTTCATAAGGAACACCCTCAAATTCCGCCGGGGCAAATCGACGGACGCAGGCGGTGAGGCAAGAATCTATGAGGGCGAGCTGAGGTGCGCCCGATACTGTCGATATGACAGTATCAACGCCGATGAGAGCAGAGTGCAGAGAAGCTGGATTGAAATAGTCAACCTGGATCACCCGAAACCCATTTTCTGCTAGTTGTGGCCGTTGCTGGTTTGAAGATTTAGTCAGGCCCAGAATCTTGGTGTGAAGAAAGAAAGGGTACTACAAATCTGGAGAGCATAAAAACTTCGTGCCCCTCTTCCGCTACTGCTCTAGTAATATGTTGAGCTAACCCGGCAGTCCCCGCTACAGCAACCTTCATCTTTTCTATCGAGAACAACGAAACCAGGAGAGCGGGCGGTGCAGAAGTAGAATAGGACGCTATAATCCCGGATTCCCCTTTGATGTGATGGGTGTTAGTAGTGACCCTAGGATACCCCTGATGATCAGGTTCTAACCAAGGCAGGGCAGGCACAGCGGTCGGAGGCGCTGGGGAATGAGGAAGGCTATGGAAGGGGGATTTCACTCGGGAAAGCTTGGATATTGTGTCAGGGGCAGTAAATTATTGTGGTTTTGGGGGAATCGGGGGAGTGGTTGAACCCGAGGACAGGAGAGGGGAATAGGATGAGGGTAAATCCTCTTGATTGCGTGGTACTGGTTTAAACGCTGGACTTGGGGATCGATAGTATAGTTTATAGAAAAAGGAAAAGAAAGGGCCCTCACCTAAGAGAAGAGATTTGCTCCCCTATTCCCACAGCGCCATGCGAAGAAGCCCCGATTCCCTCTTCAATCGTTGCGTAGACACGGAATGAAAAAAAGTACACAAAAAGCCCGGGGCAGACGGCGATAGGCTTCAATAGAGGGAACTCAAGTAGATTGTACTTGGTGGAGGGAGACTATACGGTGGCAGACCTAGCACCCCATCCCGTTAGCCAACTGAAACTTGCTCCGCCCTCCCCCTCGTTGAATATATCGGTATCGGCCATGTGTCTTGAGCGGAACAGAGATCGAGTGAAAGCCTAGCTGGATACTTTTAGGGCAACGACCCAATGACATTGAGGTCCCGGGTTGGAGAAGCAAAACCGTTATTGTACCCTCATAACTGGCCGAAAAAAAGGAAACCGGGCTAGGAAAACCCTCGATTACAACCCTCATTCCCTCATGAACATCGGTCCTGTAACAGCTATTCTCAACAACGCCCCTCTATTCATTCCAGCAATCGGTACCCCTTTCACTTCTCTCCAGGGCTGCGTAGATTCAAAAGTATCATATTTCTCAGCCGCCCGGGAATGCCCCTTGTCCTTGTGTACGGCATTGTCCTACCCTTGGTGGTTTTATTCCAAAGGGCAGCAGCAAATAGGGTTCTTTATAGCCACGCACTCCCCAGAAACCAGGTCTCGGCTGTTGAAAGTGATCCGGAGGCCAAACTCGAAAAGAAAAGCCCAAGAAAATTCATGGTACTGGGAAGCTGGGAAAACGGGCTTCTATGGGGGAATAGAGACAGGATCTAACCTTAATTCCTTCCACGCACGAACATACACTATCACCGTGTGACTGCCAGACCGAGGAAGCCCACAGAAGGTGATAGGTAAGGAAAATATGGTTGCGTATCCAGGGATTTCCCGTGATTCTGCCGATCTCAAGTGAGGGAAAGACGCCACCCACTCGTCAGAGTCCTGTATTGTGAATGTGACTATGCAGAGAAGATTTATAGCCCGGTTGTATCGCCGTATGGTGGTAGTCAACGGTTGGAAAGAGGCCTTTGATCCCGGAGGGTTACTGTGCTTCCTCCGATTGTGGGTTCCCTTGTGCTTCTAGGCTTTGTGGTTTCTTACCCGCTTGCTTTATCACTTTTCAGACTGTTTGCCGTTCCCAGTTTTGTATCCTGGAGCACCAAAAGGGGGTTGCCAACAGAAGGCAGAGTTGGGAAAGTGCTGGGACTTAATATTTGGGTTAGATGGGCGTTATATTGAGCACACCCGTTGAGATATGCAGCACGAGGTGCAGCTGGAATTGAAACCTAAGCAGGGGGCGAATTTGTTTGTTTTTGAAGGCCCTTATGCACTGGCATATGATAAAAAGGACAAATATTTTCCAGGGACAGAATGGAAAGGCACCAAGACGAATACGCCGAGGTAAAGAGCGCTTTGTCAACTATGGCTGAAGGGTGTTTCTTGAGCTATTAAGCACTATACCAATTGGCTACTATGCTCTGGAAGGCAGCGAGAGCTTGATGTATTAGTAAATAGAATATGTAGGACTGGGAGACCTACTATAAACTTCCGAATCCGCTCACAGGCAAGTGATGTTTCAGGGTCAAGGGGAAAATAGAGGCCAGTAATCAGGGCTGGATGGAGTAGAGCCTAGCTCGTAAAGGTGTGGGCTTAGTCTGCGACTGAGCTATTTTTGACTCGGCAGATGAACAAGAACAAGGGTTTCGCCCTAAGGCAGATGATGGGCCAAGCGGTCTTGAAATGGGGTGGGTGCTCACCCTTCCCCGGAATTTGGAGCCTGGGCTTGATAGTTTTGGTGCACTTTATCCCCTTAAAGCTGGATATATGGGCCACAAAACGCTAGATATGTTTCGAGGTCCTTTTCCTGGCTGTTGCGATCACGAGGACATCTATACCGGACTGTAAATGCAAGTTATACTAGTGAGGACATAGTATCGGCGCTAGCTGTGTTTTTGTGACCGATCAGAGGATTATACCGGAAGGATATATATGACCTCTGGGTGATAACGATGGGAGTACCCTCGCTCGCTGAGATGGAAGAGGGTTGTGGTGGCTGTCTGACCTTTTAAATAAAAGGAAAAAAATGCACCATACCATGAGATAATAAAACAGGAGACAAATCAAGACGGTTAGAGACGATCCGCAAGCACGCCTATTCCACAGCAAAAAAAGAGCACGCACATTGGGGGGTTGGGATCTTCCGGAACGTCAAAGCAGGGAAGTAAGAACCCCAGTGATCAGGAACTAAGAACCGGGATAAACGCACAACACTGACGATTTAAGCCCTCGCCCCGAGCAGCCTACCAAAATACCAAAATGTGAGTAACGCATTCCACGGCACGGCGAGCCATATGTAGATTTTAGAGATGCAATAGGTTGAGCTTCAGTCGAGATTGTAAAAGTAGCTAGCATTTGGGTGCATGGCTCGCCATGCCGTGCAGTAAGTTAACGGGATGGACTTTGGCAATGTTCTTCCAGGCAACGTTTCATAGAGCCCGTCGCAAGGACACAGGCTATCAGTGGGTAGACATTGTGAGCCTGCAGTGGCGGGTGGATCGGGTCCGCCCTCTGGAGTTGAGCGCAATATTGGTGACCTTTGAGTCACCCCAGTTGTCATGTTCCCCATAGGTTGCCGCACCAACGGTGTTGGGACAGCACTATGCATGCAATGACGCCAGGAGCTTTCATCAGGGTAGGATTGTCTTACGGCGGTGTTTGGAGCCTTGTTCGTAAAGATTCGTACATGAGAAGAGCAAGTGCTGTAATCGGTAGCACAGGATTACATGCTCCAACTGCACTTGCGCCGGGTGTCTGCTGGACCAACGAATAGCGCCCTCATCCCACCGAGCCAAGACAGGTGCCATATCTCGATAAGCTCTGATGTTGTGGGATGTGCCTGGAGGTCGGAGGGCGGACCGCAAAGCATGAGATCGCTCCCACCAGAGTAGGGATTCTGGGCAGATCCAGAATTCCTTTTTCATTGGGATCTCGGTCTCCTGGAATCTGGCGAGTTAAAATGATGAATAGACGTTGGTTCTCACGAGAAGTTAGAACGCGTTACGACGGAGGCTGAAACATCGAGTTCGCACATCTTGGCAGACATGGTGACCGGATGAATTATGATAGCAGAACAAGGACTCATCAATGGGATTTTCCGGGACCACAGAGCTCCACCCGACCTTCTTTCCCTCGCTTGATCTGTATTTCGTTTTTTTGGCGTCTGTCAACTCCTAAGGTGTCAGATGATCTAAACGGCTCCCGAGCCGATGGGGGGGGGGAAGCGGTTACACTGTCGCCATTGCACTTGTAGCTGTAGGAGATGTTCCCCGGCAGTCCGGGAATAATTGTCGGTGCTCACAGCCTAGTATGACTCGAGATTCTGGTTTGGTAGCTACATGTACTGGCCTTTGGTGTTTCACGAAAAAAGGTAAGCTAGTGCGAAGAGCGTCTGAAACCCAAAGCCCCGCAGAGGCGCGGGGGGGGGAGATGGGAGGTTGCCATCGGCGGAGGTACAGTTTGACGGTTGGGTGAAGATGGGTTCAGCTCGGCCCGAAAAGGGTTTTTGGGTATTGTCCACGTTCTCATGGATACCTACTCACCACCCAATAATTTGATCTCCTGACCGCCTTAGATAGCCGACGTACGCATACATACCACACTTTGTGCACTTGGATCAAGAGGCTCGAGGTTACCTAGCACGATAGCCAGGCCTTCAGCGACCGCAAACCACTCTTATCCTTAGGGAAAAATAATGTTACGCACAGCCGTATCCCGGTGATTCGGATGCCGATCAATAGTAAAGAATAGCTGAGCCAGAGAAGAAAGTGAAAAGAAAGGAAACGGAGGGAGCTCAGCACCAGGGATTCTCACGCGGTCACCTACAGTAATACTGACCAGGAGATGCACTCTTGCTTACTGGAGAGCGGATGGGATGCGAGGCTTTCATGGTTCTATGGTCCAACTCGCTTCTATTGCTTGTTTTTAAGATTTTGGATTTACTTGGACGTGGTAGGCTGTGTGGTGCTTGTGACCGATCCCGGTTCAGATCGGCCGATTGGTCAGCTCTATCTTATCATGAGCTTCTCTGCTCAGAATAAATTCAGGTTTATTTGTGGTCCTACTAGGACCTCTCGCGATACTGTTACCGTGGCTGATAAGGCGGTTGGGGGCACCGTGTAAGTATGCCAAATCATCAAATATCACTCGTAAATTATTCTTCTGGGGCCCCTCATGGCTTAGAGGTGCGGTAAGTGGGGTAAGCCTCCTATGGGACGAGCCCAGGAACTTTGGCGACTTGAGTGCTATCATACCTAGGCTGACCACAGGAAGTCGGTTGCTCCACCTTACCGCAGTTCAGTACTGGTACTGCACACATAGGGTCGATCAGTGAGCCGCAGTAGTAAGACATCACAGGGTCCGAGGGATGATTTCAGCTTAGCGAACACCAAAATAAAAGAACAACCATGGCGTGAATTGATGCTCCCACTGCAAATCCACCGGCACCCAAAGGTCCTGGGAACCTCCAGTTCAATTCTCCAGCCAACGGACAAAAGGCCCACGGACGGAAGCCCCGACCCTACCGTTGGGAAAAATCCTGATCTCCTTCCTCATTCGTGCCAACTATGATTACCGCATTCATGTTCCCCTCCCGTTCGCAAGCTAACCGAAAACAACCACTATCGACGAACCCCTCGCTATCATGCTACGCCTACAGACCGAGGTAGCCGGGAACTCCACCTCGTTTTAGGCTTCCCTCCAGCTATCGCCTATTTTTGGGCTCTAGTGAGCGGTTAGAGACTAGAGAGCGAGTGATCGACAATGACTGTGTGGTACGTGGTATCATTTGCTGCATCCATCCAACGCGTGTGACCACGCGTGAGGGGTGTCGGCACTGAAGTTTACGGGAGGCCGAAAGGAGGGAGCCTATTGGGGGGAGGAGCCTATTCCCCCCTCCTTTTGGGGAGGGTTTTGGAGGGCTTTGGAGGGCTTTGGAGGTCGTTTAATGATAGATCTGGGTTCATTAAAGCCTTGGCAGAGACCCACCGTATGCGACAGTTTGAAAAATCCTTCCAAGTTGGGGCATTCTAAAAGAGGAAACTACGCGAGACACCGGTAATTAGTGAACATTGTCGCTGTGGTCGAAAATGCTGACCTTGGAATAATCCTCTCTGAGAATTGATACACAAGACACGGTGACATTTCCAACTCCACAGGATGGGTGTCCCAGAGTGGGGGAAGAAAAAGAAAGTGTCAATCAGAGATGGGTACAGTACGGTAGTCTACTATTTAATACCGGTACTCATCTTTGTTTTACCATGGAGGAAGGGAAGTGGAGGATGAAAGTGACAACTGCCCAACAGTGAACTAGACCCTGATCCCCGACTGAACCCCAGTCGGTGTTTAACTGCGCAATCCTCCATTTGATCGGGCTGTGCGTGATATCGCGTCATCTTAACAACCGATACGCGGACGCGGGGCGCGTCCCCGGCGGAGGAGGAGGAGGACGTGTTGCCCGCAAAACCACCCGCACTCCCAACACGCGTTATGGGGCCTTTATGTTGCTGTTCCCAACCCCCGATTCTAGATTTCGCACCTGTCACCTTTCCATCACCGAGATTTCAATCCGCCCCCTCCACCTATACCCTCATCCTCGTCTTTCCTCGTGTCAATTTTTTTCTTCTTCCACTTCTGTCTTCTACAATTTGTTCCATGCTGGTGTCGTAGCTGCAACCGTCCCTCCTCCTTCTCCCCAACCACCAACCTCCCCTTCGAGCTATACACCTGCTCCTCTCCTCTACACACACCGCATTCTATATTCACACTCTCGAGCAGAGCCGGCCGCATAATGGATTCCGTCACGGAGCCACATCCGAGTCCTAGCAATAGCAATTCCAGCTATGCGTTCATTACACACTCCCAGGAAACACTCCCTCTCAACCTCCCACCTTCAATAGACAACGCGACTCTGGCTCGTAGACGTAGGCGCCGCACGTCCGCGCACGACCAGGCCATTCTCGAGGAGGAATATCGAAAATGTGATCGACCGGATAAGTCCAAGAGGAGGGAGATCACAGCTAAAGTTCGGATGGGCGAGAAAGAAGTTCAGGTAAAGAAATAGAGAGAGAGAGCTAACTTGATTTGATTTTTGATTTTTTTGATTTGGTTTTTTCTCTTCCCTTTCCCTCTCCAATTGCACGTTTTCTATATATGATGCATATATTTTTTTCCCTCTAGATGCCTATATCTACAGATTTATTGGAATACTTATTGCTTACCACTCCATTGTCACCTCTCTTCCTGCCTGCCTGCATATTTCCGTTTTCGGGGAAAATGGCTGGGACGGACGTGTTTACTGTGGCGAATGCCGTTTTTCTGGTTGGCTGGTTGGCGGTGTTGATGATTACTAACCAGACACGCGTCCTAAGTAGATCTGGTTCCAAAACAAGCGTCAATCAACGCGCCGCAAATCTAAGCCACTCTTGCCACATGAGGTAATACCGCACAATAGTCAGAATTCGATTTCCTCGTCCCAGCTATCTCTGTCCGAGAGTTCTCAACCATTCTCCTCCTCCCAATCGCAGGAGAGTAACGACAATAATTATAATCATGATAGCCACGATAATTGTGGCGCTACTGGTGCTACTGGTGCTACTGGTGCTACCGGTGGTGGTGGTGGTGGCGGTGGTGCTGCTCAATACCCGGATACCGGTACACTCAGTGACGACGTGTTGGATGCTCGGGGTGGGGGTGAATATCTTGGCGCTAGTGACGCGGACGACGACGAGGAACCGCTCCACCAAAGTCACCAACAATCGTGCCAGGTCGCGCAGAGTAAACCCTCAACCACCACTACTGGCCAAACATCTGGACGCGGGCATAATAATAATCTATCGCTTGCATCGCATCGGATCTCTTCACCATCTTGCCCTGAGAGCGGTCATCCGGCCACGACAAAGCATCATCGCCACCATCAACGTCAGAAGACCTCGCTCGTCATAGGCGGGGAAGAGGGAGGAGACGAAGGAGGGGGCGGGCACGGAGTGTCCACACAGATAACGATGACCACTTCCGCCCATAATCGCTTGCAACACGTTCTATCTTCCGCACCTACACCCGCTCACCACCACCCCCCGCTCGGCACATCGCGTCGGAGGACGGCCCCAACAACGCCCAAGAACCCTCCACGATTACTAAAACGTTCGTCATCAATTCGACTCTCCACCTCGCTGGAGGGGAAAGCCTCGGTAGTGTTGGAGGACGAGCCGTCTTCACCCCCGCCGCCACTACTCACCCTCCCAACAGCGAAAATCCAACCGAGCTCTGTATCCCGCAGCGCCTTGAAGCGCCGGACCGTCGATAGTAAAGTTTGGGAGTTCTGCTGCGATAACCAGGCCGTTATCCGCTCCCCGTGTCCGCCACATGAGGAACCGTCAGAGGCAACGGAAGCCTTGGGATTGGTCCGGGGTAGGGGGAAAAGCGGTGCACACAAACCATCGCTGAAGGACAGCTCGATGGGGAGTTCCTTGGGGATGGCAAAGCCCAAAAAGGGTTTACAAAAAGCGATCCCTTCGTCGTCGTCGCCTATAAAAGCCAAGAAGAACCGGAAGATAATCTCTGCAAAATCGTCACGCCCAAAGCCGGCATTGTCAAACAATGTCAATGCCAACCCCCCCGCATCGATAGCATCGTCGGCTACTACTAGTAATAGCAGCAAAAAGCCCCGCACAAACCCCCTTCTCCCCGAACCCGGCCAAGATAGCGACAAAGAGAACCGCCCTCCGGGGGCCCCTGTTTCTCCACCCCCCGAACCTCGCAGAGTTCTGGGCGTCCCAGGCAAAGGTGATGTAGTCAACAACAGTGCAAGGAAGAAGAGGCCGGCAGGCAAGAACAAGACTCCGCGGAAAAAGAGCAAGTCCCTATCCGACAGGCAGAAGAGACGCGTCCTGGAGGATACCAGGAGTGAGGGTATGAGGATATTCTATGACGTCCCGCCGGCGAGCAGCCAGGTTTGCGAAACGGAGTATGAATTACCCGGTGCTGGCAGTGGTGGGAGCCAGTCGTTTTTTGACGAGTCCAGTCAGGAGGGCGCGGTGAATGTGGGGCCGGCAAGGGTGGATGAGATGGAGTGTGTGGAGAACCTGTTGAGTTTGAGGGGCGGGGTTTGGGGGTAGATTGTATATTGATATTTGACTCTGGTTATTTTATCTCTTTTTGTATACTTGGCTGGTCATTATTTTATATGGTTTGGTTGCGTTCATTGTGAGTTAGTTTAATTGTGGGTTTTGTTTGGCATGGGGTTTGTGGGATTGGCTCTTTTTCTTCTCTCTATTTGTTGTCTTTCGCATTTTCTACCTTTTTTCCTTCTGGCTTTCATTCAATGCTTTTGCTGTCACATCACATCCGTTTTCGATCCGATCCATTCTTGTCTCCTTTCCATCAAAATTGGCGTACCTGACTTTTCGCATCTCATTTTAAAACATTCAGAATCTATCCCTCCCCTGATCCTTCCAACTTTGTTATTCCCTTTCGCTTTCTCAACGATGTTTTCCAACTTTCTGTTACAGTTCGCCTTCTCTGGATTAGCGTCTCGCGCGGTGCATACTATCCACTACCACCTCAGCAAGAAATAGGGAGAAAGAAGCTCAAAAGTGAAATCTGGGAATAGTTTGTGCAGGGTATATGTGTACCCGCTTCGCCCTGGCGCTCATTGCTCATTGCGTGGGGGAGGGAAGGAAGGAAGGAGGGATGGGGACAAGCAAGAAAATGGTTGGGTTGCGGTAGCCTGAACTGATCACTGAGTGCAATACCTCCTGAGGGCTCGGTTGGTCTTCCATTGCATCGTAGGAGAGGATAACCACAGTATCATACTGGCACTACCCCTCGTAGGAGTACAGTGCAACCTTATTAATCCCAGGGTACTATACTCGAGTACTCGGGTACCGGTATAGTACGGCACAACACCCCAAGCATAGGGATACTAAAATCGTATGGAATACACGGACCGAATCCCGGCGGGGGAGGCGGGCAACTTACCTTCAACAGTACCGTAAGGGCTATGCCTGGGAATGACAGATCCAGCGAGCACTGTACGAGTAGCTCACAGCTGTCTAAGCTGTGGTCGCAAAAAAGCGGAATTGTCGGGGTAATATTATACGGGTGCCCGGCAAAGATAGTGTGATATCTGAAGATACGGCTTGTGTTACATAACCACTCTACTAGCGAAAGAACGCTATCTCATTTCTAGATAGGTTAGACTGCTTCGTGCCGCCCGAGGAATGATCTGGTACGGTACTATCATAGTTCATCTACATTACCTATTTTGCAGCCAGCGCCGGACCTTCGGCCCAAGCCAACCGGCCAAGCTCCCAGCAATATGCCAAGTTCCCAGCAATATGGAAACCTAGCAGGAGCCTTCTTGATACTCGGCGGTGCCTTAAGGGACGCCTGCAGAGGTGCCCACGATAGTCGTCGACGAGTGGGTTTAAGTTATCGTGAAGGAGGAACGAGTGTGATACAGTGCTTGCTACTATGGTAGTCCGATCGGATGCGCCGATTGGCTCGATCTTGTTATCTGGTCATGCCTCTGTCGACCGTCTCACCGCCGGTATCGTAATCAAGGGGTAAATTTAAAGTATGATATGTCGGGCCCGGGCGATTCTGGTTGGCCCGGCGACTTCTCGGCCACTCAGAGGACGACGGGGTTCACCCTGGTCCATCGTACCGGTAGCCAACTAACTTAGGCGGGAGTTTAGCGGGCCCTTTTTTTTTTCTTCACCAGGGTTGGCGTGGATTGGCCGAGTGAGGTAAAGTATCATGCTGTATCGTAGCTGGGCAAAAAGAAAGAAAGGATTAAGTTACACAGGTGCGGTAGTTGGTGTTTTAGGTCAGCGGGTGGGATAAGTCGAGGTCTGGTATGATATGATATGATAGACTTTTACGAGAGACCCTGCCTAAGGCACCGACCGGTCGGTATATCGACACGAGTGTGTGCTTTCTCTGGAGGTATGATATGTCATATCATACCGTACGTGATTGCCCGTCGTGGTCATCATCCAGCGGATGTTATTCGTGGGGAGGGGGGGGGGGCACCGCGCAATTGACTTCCTTGGGCTCGATTGGCTGGGGTCATATTTAGTGACTTGGGTTTATGATACAGATACTAACTGATGGGGAACTGGAAGATACATGCGATATGGAAACCCCTTTCGGGTCCGATGTGACTTTTTTAATCCTTTTAATAATAGTAATAATAATAGTAATTCTATTCTACCTGTGATTGACACCTTTACCGGTAACTTAGTATCCACTCCCCAGAATAAAAAAAGCATCGTAGTACTGCACTGTGGATCCACCACCACAACTATGCTATACAAGTCCTACGAATGTATCGTACGGACTAACAGGTTCCTAAAAACCTGGCAATCTCCTTTTATCATCCACGAGTAGTATACTTCGTCGCACAACTTTGGCGTCATTCTCCGCCGGGCGCCACAGATATATACGGGCCGACAGAGCGGTGGTCTAAAAGAGCCAATGAACCCTTTTTACACCCTTTACTCTTCCGCAGCACTACCCATTCCCTCGTGTATTTTTCTGATGAGTCAGTCAGTGGTTTCAGCGGTACTGCCTGGGGAGTACTGGTACAAGGAAGCGTGGGTGGATTTAAATTTGGTGTGCAGCCGGTTTATCGTGCAGTGGGCAGGCAAATAGTAAAAAAATTAAGAGACCATAGGAGAAAAGTATAATGTGCGATCTAGAAATGGGGTTCTAATATTATATCGTACCTGCTTCGGCGGAGACTTATTGGGGATTCTCGGGGTTCGCCGCTCCTCCTGCTGAGAGTGATGAGTAATAATATATTATATAAGGGAGAGGGAGAGGGAGGGGTGGACTAAGAAAGAATACTGCATGGATGGGTAAGGCTAACGTCGGGATAGCTGGGGAGTAGTCTAGGGGAGCCAAGTGGTAGCTTGCATACCTGAATGATCCTTCCAAGTAGTCTATTCCAATAAATGTATGGTGTAGTTGCAGCTGGGTCTTATTTTTCTGAATCTCTTAGAGCCTGTTTGGCACGCCAGGATTAGACTAGGATTCGGACTTAAACTCCGGACTTGAAAACCAAAGTCCAAAAACTCCAAAGTCTGGGCTTTGTAAACTAGCCATATCATACCAAACATGACAGGATTTGGATTAGGACCAGGGAGGACCTGTGTATCTGATGTAAAATAATAAAGATAAGATCTAGGCATGTGCTTTGTTTGTGCTTACAAGCTAAGAGAGCAGTTAGGGCTAATGCCTTCTTGAGTTTGCTTTGTGATAAGTGTTTTTTTTTTTAGAGAAAATCCTGGTTTGAAATCCTGATCTAATCCTGGGGTGAAAATCTAGTCCAAGTCCTGACCCGCCAAATAGGATTAGACTGAAAATCCAGACTTAGGAGATAATCCGGATTTTAGGTCCAAATTCTGGCATGCCAAACAGGCCCTTAGGGGTTTGTCTTCGTCTTAGTCCTCATGCTTAGTGTTGGGCGGCAGGGGGGTCTTGTCAGGGGTGGGGTGGAGGATTCCACGATTGGGTATTAGGGGACTCTTCATATCCTGTCTCCATATCCCCGGTTTCTTCCCTTTTTTTATTTTTATTTTTAGATACGTAGCTGGTGGGCCCTTGATTACAGTAGTGTTCGCGTTTTTCTTCTAGTCGGTATTGGATATAAAGGGCAAAGAGGATAGTAGATAGGTAGGCCCTTAACCCCAAAGGTATTTTCTAGCAACCTGAGATACCAAACTAACGACGATCTGTGGAGGAGGGAGAGGAAGAGGAAGCGAGAGTTTGACAAATTCAATTCGATAGATATGCACTGTGCGAAGGCCCCTTCCCACTAGCGTCAATGTTCCTTCCCATACTCGCAATCTATCACTCGAGGCTGAGAGTGTGATACGTGTAGAAACGCAGTAGGAAACATGGGAAATGGCAGAGTACTGTACACACACGGTAGCACAATCTAGATTTTTATTCTTTTTACTGAGGTGATCCGGGTACTATAGATTGCACCTGGATTAATTCCGGAATATGATTAAGGAACGGTACGACATTACAACTGGGCCTACCTCGAGATATTGGGAGTCATTTTCTGTTCTAGAAGCTGTTTGTTCGCTGTCAACTGTTTGCCCATTGGAGAATTTTGCAAGGACTTTCCTTTCTTCGTTGTTTGTGTTCCGACGACCTTCCGAGGGTTTGCCTCTCTGATAGGCCGCGGTGGTGGTTAGCTCCAAGAAACCAAGTATGATAAGAGAGCACAATGTCGGGTTATGCGGGTAGTGCAGGTAGGGCAGCCAGCTTACTTGATGGTGTAGATATATTTTCTGTTTCTTTGGGGAAGATAGAGCAGTGAATTGTAGAGGCTCTTTGACTTCGAGAGAGGTAGAAAAGAGATTGTAGTCTATTTTGATAGCACCGGTGTGCGTGGTGGAGAGAGGATGGGAACTTGATGTATTTCCTAGCTACGAACGTTGCTATCTAAGTGAATACATGAATGCCAAGCCGTGATGCCCACTGTGCTCACCAACCCTAACGTCCGTCCGTGAGGTAACCCCAGTACTACACACCACGCGCTAACATATTTACCACCTTCAGAGCAAGCCCTTAATATTCGGACCAGGCTGCCTACCATCCCTTTGTTGCGGTTTCGGGGTGAGTTTAAAATTTATTCTCCCACTATTTTATTATGTTTTGAATATGCTTGCTGACTTTTATCATTTATTTGGTGGATAACTACTTTAAGCGCTCAAGAAAGTATAACTTTAGGCTACAGTCACAGGGTGTTGGCAACCTATTATATGATCTAGAGAGAGAGTAGGCTTTATTAGGAGCTAGTATTGGTCCCTTGGGACTTTGAGGAATTTAGAATTGCTGTTTTAGAGAACATCTTTTGCCCACCGTTAAGCTAATGAGTAAATTCGGATTGTGGAGGAAGTGTTGGAGGTCACACAGAAAAGGTCGGAGTTGAAGTGCAAAGTGATGGGACCGATTGAAAATTGAGAGAAAGAGAGATGGTTGTTGTGCTTGTTCTACAGATACCTCTCAGATTGCCATACTTATAGCAATTGGTAGCATAAATATACATCAATATGACTCCAGTCATTTCCTAGTTCCGCAAGTCTCAAGTGGCCCAACAGCTGGCCCAACATATCCATACCACTCATCATATTGTGGTAACACTTCCGACAGAAAGCTCTTGTTTTGATAGGGCTACAAAATTTAATGTCTGTTGATTCTATTATATGCTTCCCCACCCTTCTGGTATCCTCCTGTTAGCCCTATTGGCAAAGATCTAGAGAAGTAGATGTTAGGATGGGAATAAGTTATTAGGTGATTAGATCAGTCATTGGATAGACAATAATGAGTTGACCCTCTTATCGGGACATTTTCCCTGCTTTTTTAATGAGCGTGTTTTACTACAGATATTCTTGACCACCTTTACTAGTATAATATGTAGTTTTGACTAGCTGGAAATTTCTATAGAGGTTTTTCCTGCTGCTACTGGGATGCACTTAGTTAAATTCATTTTTTGTTAATGACAATGCTATGAAAATACTCATTATCTGTTGAAGGAAAGATGTTAAGATTTTTGTTTGTTTCTTTGGGATCTCGCCAGGTTTTTGTTAATCAAAAGATTGGCTAAAAGGATTATCTTAACACATTCAAGGACAGCTATCCATGGCTATTTCTTTTTAACATCTGCCATATTATAGCTATAATTGCTCCTCTTGGAATCTAATCCTCTATACTCAGTTTTCTAAACTGCCGTTCATCCAGGAAAGAATTTCCTTCTGCACATTTCTTTTGTGCATTCATGATGCTCCGCGACGTTACTAGTGGAGAAAGATCAGGCATCTACCGAAATTTGTCGGTTAGCAGGTTCTGAATGCTGGGTTTTTAGGTCCGGTTCTATGTGGCCTAGGGGGTCTCTAATTGGTATGTCCGTTGTTTACCCCCGCTGAACTTCACAACTTCAATTCTAACTTTCTGTTCTACTATCACATTTTGTTTTGTGGTGTTCGTGGCTTCAAACTTGGTCAATTTATTGGAAGGGGATTCGGAGGCCCAATTTTTAATTAATTTCTCAGCTATCACAAACCCTCACTCGGACTCTTCTCTGTCCACTAAAAATGGCAAGACAGCCCACGACCACCCTGCACTGGAGGTCGCTAACCAGACAGAGGCCAAAGCACACCAAAATTTCGGCTTTTCGAGCCATGATAACTCCACGGATATCTTGAAACTTAGCTTTGAAAAAAAAATTAAAAAAAAATTAGACATGTCTGAAGTATAATATGTATTTATTTTGGCTTTTCTTCTGTTCCTGGAGAACGGTGGTTGGCACATGAACTGGATGAGGTCAGTTGCAATGTACAGTACTCGTATGATACATGTACTGGTATCATACCTTTCCAATATACAAAAACTTTTGTCTTGGCAGGTCCCTCATGGGAATGAACATTCCACACACAACTCTGGGAGAATGGAAGTAAAAGATCCCACACTTTTTTATATGTGTGCTATTGTAGCAGATTACTTTTTTGAATTTTTTCCATGTTTCTGCCCATGGTGGTTGCATAACGATAACTTGAAAACTATCACTTTTGGTGTGTTTTGGTCCCCTGTCTGGTTACTGAGTGACCCCTATTGCCTGCAGAGCCGCATTCTGCCAAGCCGGCTAATTAATTTCATCCCTGTCGGAATATTTTTTTCTCTTCGCTTACCTCACTTCACCTCACCACTATTCTCTGTTTCGCTCTCCCCCCGTCGCCCAATTCCCCGCAGCTACCTCACCCTAGGGCATCGATTGAAGATGGCAAAAGACCGCTCAACCTCCAAGGACAAAAGGGAAAAAAAGGACAAGAAGGAGAAGCGATCTAAGGATGTTACAGCCTCCCTCGCAGACGACAGCCACAGAATATCCAAAAAGAAGAAGAAGCCCAAGAAGAGCAAGACAGCGGCGAATCCTCCTACCGATGACGAACTTGACATTGCTGACGCTGCTGCTGCTGTTTTGAGCGCTCTCTCTGCTCCGGGGGCCGTGGAAGGAGCGAAGGAGGGAGCGAAGGAGGGAGTTGGTGCTGCGCCGATCGACGACTCGGTCCTTGTACCTTTCGCGAAGCCATTGGCTGGAGAGAAGTTGACTAAGAAGATTTTCAAGACTGCTAAGAAAGGTTAGCGGCCCTACTACCTTGCGCTACGCTCTCTCTCTCACTCAATTTCGTCTGCAACATGGATGGTGAAGATTAGACTAACAACTCCCTCTTCAATAGCTGCCAAAAACAAATCTCTAAAGCGCGGCGTAAAAGAAGTTGTCAAAGCACTTCGCAAGTCCCCCACTGGCGCCGCCGCCGCGAGCGCAAACTCCGGTATCGTTGTCCTCGCAGCTGACATCTCTCCAATGGACGTAATCTCCCACATCCCGGTTCTCTGCGAAGACCATGGAATTCCTTATGTTTTTGTTCGCTCAAGAGCCGAGTTGGGAGCGGCGAGCGTTACCAAGAGGCCTACCAGCGTTGCCATGATTGTTCCCGTTGCTGGTGCGGGCACAAAGGAAAAGAAAAAGAAGAGGAAGAGCACTGGTGGGGATGATGCGATGGAGGGGATCGAGGAAGCTGATGGAGGAGCCGATGGATTTAGGGAGGCATATGATGAACTGTTGGCACTTGTCGAGGAGGCGGGGAGGGGGGTTATGGTTTAGCGAAGGGTTGTATGATAGCTGGGTTATAATTTCAATTCAAAAAGCCTTTTTTTTTGTAGGTCTTTGGGGGTGGTGTGGTGGCTTGGTGATTGTGGGCTGTATGATATGGCTGATATATTTGGGATTAGATAAACACTAAGCGTTTTGTTCTGTCTCTATGGTATCGGGGAGGAAACAGCGGTGCAAATGATCTGGGGTACGAGACAAGTTGTCGTCGGATTTTGTTAGGCGGGAGTATACCCTCGCCTCGTAAGCCTTACACACCTCGCGCTCACCTTAGAATATCAACATGTGTGGCATAGAGTATGGGGACAGTGGAAAAGGGCTCTGGCCCGTGGCCCCTTTACATCTACATCAAAAGCAGACATTTTCAGAAACTCGCAGCTCGACACTTCCTGAGTAAGGGGTTTCAAGAAGCCGTAAGGGTCATGTGAACAATGAGTTTTTTTATTTCCACACAGTGGAAGTATAATGACTGTGAATTGATAAACTTGTGACCTTTTATGCTTTGAGGTGAGATTTGAAAGTGGCTCGAGGCATTGTGGGTTCCTCGCAAAAGGCGTGCCCTTTGTTCTATGTTGTCGGTGGTTTCCCGATTCCGTAAACCCTCTATTTTATTTTATTTGCTGCAAACTACTCTCGATATGTTTTCCTGGTCGACCTGGGCTAAAAAGGGAACCCTGGGTTCATTGTGAAGGAAAGTGGTTGGTATGTATACTTGGTTTGGGTGTAAAACGAGAAATCAGCTTGAGTTTTTTTTTGTCCTATCGTAGCACTTTACCTCACACCGAAATTATCAACCAAGTAGTTGGCATCTACATCTGGAATTTAGCGCCTATACTACCCCCCCTCACTTCTTGAACAGCCTAAGTCCGCCAGGCCACAGGAGGCTGTTGAACTACAGGCCACACAGCAAGTGCGATACCAAGCTAACACGAAAACCGTTCCAATGGCCCTATTCCGGTTCTAAAAATCTCCCGACCTATTTGAGATCGTATAGGGAAGCCCGAAAGATACTCTCTGGAGTGGGGCTTGTTGAAAGTTATGGATGGCCGGTTAGCAGAGCCGTCGCGCTGCTATATTATCCATTCCCGTGTCCAACGGTAGGCACTGCGGGTTACATGGCAGAACAGTGCAAACCCAATTTTAGGGAATGAGGCAAGGATATCCTGTCCGTGATGAGCTCCCCTTCCCAGAAAGCTAGGATACTAGAAGCAAACCTTTACCGCCATGTTAAAATCTACCCAACCGCCAGCACTTGTCCAACGTGGTCCAGAATGCGCTCTCTCCCACGGATGGCGATTCTAGGGGCAATACATCTGCCCTTCTTCTATGGGAGGAGTTCACGCTTACTTAGCAGTGCCGGCCATGGCCACCTCAGTCCAGGACAACTGTATTCGGGGGGATTAGTGATGAAAATGTCTTATCGTTCATAGGAGGGGTAACGGGAAGTATTTAATAACACCAATAGGGGTTTGTATTAGTAATATATCCATCATGTGTTTTTGTGCTAATAATAATAGGGTGCGATACCGTCCGGAAATCCTTTTTACATATCCTGCCATCTCGGGTTGGGTTGCCGGAAGCAGACGTGGAGGGAATCCACCTATGGTAGGTAACACGGAGTAGGATGGCAACCAAACTGAAATGTTCACAGATTTTATCTTGCGGTGGGAGGCCTAAAGCTTCAGGGTATAGAGTTGGCAGTTTTTGGCTCACTCCAGTGTAAGAATCAGGAGTAAATGTACCTTTTTTTATATTTTTATTTGGAAGTGAATTGGTAAATATTGGTCTCAGTTTCCTTTTTTTTTTTTTAAAAAAAAAAAAAAAAAACGCCATGCACTCGCTCATTTTTAGTGTGGTATCCGAGGTAGTGATGTTAAATTTAGAAATGAGAAACTGCCCTCTTTTTCTTTTTAGCTATGCGGGGGGAATTTTAGTGGGGAGGGCTTGTATTTCAGATAACCGTTGACGGCTCCCATAGGCTAAGTGAACCACTTAATTATTTCCTGATTATCTTGATTTCACCCAGGGAGTTTGTGTGCCAATTCTAATTCGGGTACCGCAAGAGCTGGGACAAGGTGATGGACAGGGACTGGGACGAATGGCACGAGTGATTTCCTGTGATAATAGATTGTTCGCCTCTGTGGAAGGGGTGGGCTCTAGTTGATGCTTGATAATATCATCGTGTAACCCTTTTTACGAATTTAGCAATGCCCCATGAAGAGAGCCTAAAAGGTTGTGTGAGTGGAAAGGGGCCGACTTTGAGCTCCAAGGACGAAGGCTGACATAGCGCCAGCGCTGCAAGGCTGTTTGGAGTGGTAAAATTCTCAGACAACTTCTAGAAGAAGGGTGAGCTTCCTATCCCAATACCATTTAGACTTGATATCCTTTGCTAGTGGTCCCTGGCCATATCACACCTATTGTGTTTTTTTCTTTCAAAAGAGATAATATATTATGGAACCATACTACCGGTTTCGAAGCTTGTCATGGTGAAAGAGTAATCTGGTAGTAAATTGTCACCGTCTCTTCCGGCCGATTTGCCTATTTTGTTGCCGGAGACTCCGCACATCATTCGGAATTTGCAGTTGCCTTTCCAAATCAAACGCAAAAGTTTTTTGTCTTTATTTCTTTTCTGCTACCCCGCCGATCGCAGACCTCACCCCTAGGGGTATGGTCTAGAGTCGGATTCTACCACCTCATAGAAGCTCTAATTTGCCCAACAGCCTTATTGAGGAAGGCTAAGGTCTTCAGTCTCCCAGTTCCCATAGGGCAGGTTCTCCTGCCCCACATGATGCGTCGTTCAATATTTACTCAATTCCGAGGGGGAATTGAACTCCTGGGCTCCTGCTAAGTGCGCAGGAGGTTAATTGGTTCTTGACATATTAACCACTGCGCCAGCTAGGTATTTCACATAGTTCTGCCTTGTGAACAAATGCTTATCCTGTAAACTACATGTGGGTTTCTACTTTTCGCTTAGTTTTACAAGCAAAGTTTACGACAATCTCATTATTATGATGCAAGGTATTCTGGCTAAAGAGGAAGGTGGTATCTATTTCCCGAATATCTTTGGGAGAAGAGGGTCTCCTACTGTAGATATTTTCTCTCTTTTTTTCCTCACTTTTAGAAGTATCGTAGCGTTAATTGTTTCCACTGGGAATAGTCATTTGGGGGCCAGGGTTTTGGTTGGTGAGAGTTGAAAGTATCAGATACCTCGCAAACCTCTACCTTTGCTCACTTTATCTACTCCAGCACTGGGTAAATTCTCGCCGAACCCTGATCAATCAAGTTTCTTAAACCTGTATTGATCTATCATGAGAAAAAGTAGTTTATATATATATATAAATGGAAGGGCTGTTATCATTTGAACGAGAGTGAGCACCCTCAATGGGTCAGGAATGCCAGCTTTCGATAGCTGTGGTGTTAGCGTTGCTGGAGTTATGATTTAGACTACCTTCTTCTATGCTTAATCCAATTTCAAGCTAGACTTAGTCCCAGCTCCAGCTAGCCATATTTTTGACAAGCTGCGTATCAAAAAACAGGGTTTGAGTTTGGTCAGAAGAATAAGTATGCGGTCTCTGCTTTACAAAAATTTCCACATACTAGAGCTGAGAGGAGGCTGGAAATTAAAATCCTCTGAAAGAAATAGTGGGTAGATTCTAGAGACAACAATCTTTAGTGCCTTCCAACAAAATTGATTATCATACTTGAAGCTCCTTTACCAAGTCCCTAAGAAAAAACCCGCCACCCCTATATATATCTTGGACTCGTTGGGAACCTGTACTCGCTAGGGTTCCTCGTGCGGTCGTAGATATGACAATTCTTCAAAGTCTCGAAGGGGTCGGAGACGAAGTATTAGGACAGATATATTCGGCAGTCAGAGCAGCAACCGAAGATGCGGGAGTTTCAGGGGCGGTTGGGGTTGTCGAAGAAGCAGCAGATCCATGAGGGGTAGGTGGTGGGTCGGAGAGAGCTAGCAGAGGGCTTGGGGGCATTTGGAGTGCTTTGGGTGTTTCGCGGGAGTGGTGCGGTTTTCCGGCGGCCGTGGGTTTAAAAAGGTGGTGGCTATGGTGAATAGAATGTGGTGGATATAAGCCGAATTTAGGATGGGATGAGATTGTCTACAAGACCGCCCTGTTTGGAATAGGAGACTGCTTGTTGGTTAGCTTAGTGCTCATGAGATGGCGTCTTCTTTTGACTCGCTAGGCCAACATCCGAGAGTCCGCGCACCTCCCCTCAAATAGAACCTGAGCGTTCGAAGCTTAAGGGCTAGGCCTCCTGTGTGTGGTGGCCTAATGTCCAATTCGGGGCACAGTTTTCTACCAGGAACACCAGCGCATCCACGCACATCTTGGGCAATAGAAATATATTAAGGAACTTCCTCACACGGCACTTTTCTGGTATGAAATTGAATTTCATTCAGCGTTCTTCCAAGAAACAGACCTTTTTGTTGAGGGGGTGTTTAACACCCTTTTTTATTTTTTACTTCCTCTATATATTCTCTATTGGAAATATTCCTGTCACAATCGATTAGCCTTTAAGATTGAAGAAAAGACAATGGTCCCAGGTATGCTACCGGTTCTTTCTTAATACGATACCTTTCACCCAGCTTGCATCACAGTATAATATAGGATGCAGATCGAATTTTAGAAGCTAATATTTCGATAAACCCTGAGTGGAACAAAAAAAAATCAAAATCCAGTTTACATCATATTTCTCCTGAACTCGTGGAGCTTGGGGGCATTTCCTGTATGCATTACCTTTATTGAGATGGTCGCCGAAGGGGGACAACGTTTCACTAGAATGTAAACCACATTCGGCTGTTATTGCAATAAAATTTTATTGATATTATATACGTGCTGAAGGCCTAAATTTCAGGATGATAAAAGGTTGACCATCTCTAACGTATCTGCAATCTCTATACTTCCGATACGGGTTTTTGTGCATCCGCTTCCCAGCCTACTAAGACCTTCGAGTGACCATTCATGCCCGGGATATCCATCACAACCAGGTCAACCAAATAAACTCTTGTATGTTTGATAGAGCTCCCAAGGGTCTAAGGTTTGCACTGATTGTGTGTGGTAGGCTATTCCACTTGTGTGGAAACCGAACACCGCCCCTCGGTTTATAATCCCACTGCGAGCCAATACAAGGATTCTAACTACCACCTCCCCGGGTTATACCACCAACCTCTACGGACGTTACGCGACGGCTCCTCCGGGGTACGCCGGTTCGTACAAGCCCCCGTACACCTCGAGTCCATACAAGCCATCCGCTAACGACCTATGCAAGCCTCATCCATTCGATTACACCAAAAGCCGATTACAAGCCATGCAACGGTCACAAGTCACACGGCAGTTGCAGTTCCTAAGAACGACTACAAGTCCTATGACGATTAAAAGCCATACACCCCCGACCCATATAAGGCATCCGACCACTATAAGCCCTATACAACCCATCTTCGATAGCATGACTGTTCGCTTCCCAATCACCTATTTCCTGGTTTGCACAGTGCATCCTACTTTGGAGTCGTAGAGGCCCTGGCCACTTTGATAGAGATGAGAGGTTGTGATATCAACCAAGGAGATTGTGCCAGTTTTACGCCACTCACGTGGGCCGCTCGGCAGGGGAATGAGCCGGTGGTGGGATTGCTGATCTCGCGAGACAACGTTAAACCTGATATTTCAGACAACTATGGTAATTCACCAATCTCGTGGGCTCCAAACGAGGGGCGTGAGGGGGTGGTAAGTCTACTGCTCTCACGGGACGATATTGATCCTGAAAAGGCTAGTATATATGGTTACACACCGCTCGGGCGGGGTTCCGATCATTGGAGTGAGGGGGTGGTGCCACTGCTGTTCGCGCGGGGCGATATCAATCCCGACAAGCCATCGGAACATTATAAGTCCTATACAACCGACCCATACAAGCCTTATCCGCCCGACTACAAGCCGTCAGACTACAAGCTGTATCACGGTTACAAGTCGTACGACGGTTACAGGACAACCGACCCATACAAGCCTTATCCATCCGACTACAAGCCATACAACGACTACAAGCTGTAAAGCGGTCACAAGTCATACGACGGCTACAAATCCAACGACGGCTACAAGACAACCGACCCATCACACACTGCCTTCCTTCTCAATTACCTAAAGTCGCCAACGAACGCAGCCCTCTGCGGCAACATCCTATCACATAAATCACACTTAGCCCGGGCACACCTCCTACACTTCTCCCTAGAGGGCGCATTATTCGCGCCGCATACACAGCATTCCCAAAGCATCCAACAGGCCATGGTCGGCTTCTCCTCCTTCTTCTCCTCCTTCCCCCCTTCACCACCGCCAGACGTCTGCCAATCTTCCGACGACCATCCTTCTTTCTCATCTACTGGAGGCTCCACCACGCATTCCCTTTTTTCTAAAGATTCGCGGGGGATCCGGCAGCCCTTGTATACTAGTGCGCACTCTTGACATATCAAATGCTCGCATTCGCACCAGAGCACGTTGTAGAGGCTCTCAGCGCGACATTGGCAGCAGCGCCAGGTTCCGCAGGTAGTGTGGCATTGAGCGCCATCGCAGAGTGTGGGGCAAATGTGAGGTTGGGGTGTCACACCGAGAGGATGGCCCCATTTGAGTAGCGGTTGTGAAGTCATCTCTAAACGTTTTTCTCCCTTTGATTGCTTCTCTTGCACAGCCAGCTGTTTTTGAGGGTCATAGTGGATTTCGAGGCGGGGGGAAGGAAGGGAGGGGGACTGGGAGGGTCGGCAAGAGGAAGGATGGCATTTATTTTGTAGAAGGATGTACAATTACAATGTAGTAGAAACGGTTGAAGGATTCCTTTTTCAATTCTAATCATCCGTTTGTATGGTCCTCAGTCGGCCTTTGCGATATCTAAATACCGGATGAAGGGCGGTCGCGGCGGTATCTTAATACAATGGTGAGGATCGCATATCTAAGTTCCGCTAAGCGCAAGAGAGCAACCCCAAGACTGACCGAGAACAATAAATATCACGTTCAGTATCATAATTATCATACCATACTAGCAATCTTCAGACAACAGACATCCCCTAGAATCTGGTTTGTTGGCCCCACCATACCCAACGTTCTCCACGACTACCTCTTCTTTCCAACAGTGTAATCTAAAGCGCAAGCCTGAATCCTGAATTTATATATGTTTTTTTAAAGTAAGGAACAAATACACTTTTATCCATGATACCGACCACGCCTCCCCCCTTGTTCTACCCATTCCTCCTGCCCTGTCCTCCACTAAAACACGAGTTGTTTGGTAAGGAGGAAAAAAAAAGAAAGAAAAAATTCAGAGTTTCACCCACCGGAAGAAATTACAAAGGAAAATAGGATGAACTCTCCAAGGCACCCACTGATATATATATATATTTCCACCCAATTACGATGGATCGCCGACCAATCCTTTCTTGATCACCTGTTGGCACCGCACCCTGCCATGGTGCCGATTTTTATGGCATACCATACAGAACATTGCTACCGGGCTAGATTACTTTGAATGCCCCGTATTTTCTATAATATGGAGCCAATAGAAATTGGCAAAAATCGCATTGCGTGTCCTAGGCGCTTGGCTATCCCCCCTTCATGAGATCGTTATAGAGGAAATTTGAGAAGCAATTCACTACTATATAATAACACGAGAAAACTACGCGATTTTTGCCTTCTATTCTCCTAGAGTAGTGAGTGGGTAGTGGAATTTTTGTTCCCAGGCGGGGCCCAGCCAGGCCATGGTTCCCGCATGGGAAAGATACTTTGTAAAAATCTGCAGACATTACCTGAATTGCATGCCTACAGATCTGCAGGTACTGTTCTCGAGATAAAAGCCTAATACAATTACACATTTATTTCAAGCCAACTTTTTCCCCCCCCCAAAAGGGCCAAGTTTCAAGATATACAATATCGTAGGTAGATATTGGCTCAAGCGCCTGCAATTTTGGTGTTCTTAGCCGATGTCGCGTTACCAAACGGCCTCTACGAGGGGATACAAACGAGTGACATATTATGACTAGAGTGATATCCCATGATGAAACAAGTCTATTACTTCCCCAAACAAGCTTACATAAGAACAAGAGGTCTTTAACAAATTAGAGAGACTCTACCCAATTGACCATATCCATAATATCCCCTACACCATCCTTTACATAACCGATCTTGAGTCTCATCTTCAACGCGCTGCCCGCGTTCCCTACAACCCTCATCATTTGGGTAGCCTCGGCGTCTGGATCAAGATCTGAGCCACTTATGGGTTGTAACTGAAGCCTCATGCTTCTCGGAACGGCTGCCTGAAGACTCACGTTTGTGATGCGATCTGTGAACGAGTTGTTCTTGAAACGGGCGATGATGTTGATTGTGCCATCAGCCGTACGCGCCAGCTGCAACGTTATTTGAAGTTCATTCTTATTATAAACTTGTGCTGCAACTGGAGCCGCAACCGGAGCAACGGGCGGGACTGGGGCTGAGCTGAGGCCACCTAAAAGCGATGATGCTGACTGTTGCGAGGCCGCGACTGGTGCCGACGCGGACGTTCCCGGGGTGTTGAATAAATCCATGATACTGTTGAGATTCGATTGGGCTGATGGAGGTGGGGATGACGAATTGGAAGGCACGGGGTCACCACCAAGGATGCCACTCAGCAGTTCCATATTATTCTGCGGCGCTCCGCCTAGAGGCGCAGTGGGCTCCGATGGCTCGCCGCCCATAAGGTCTAAAAGAGCTTCCTCATCAGACTGCTTCTTGGCGGCTTTCTTTCCTGCTCTTGCCTTTGGCACTGTCTCCCGTTCAAATACCCTCGAGACTTCTTTGATGACCGGTGGAGGCATTTTCTCCAACACGCCACGACGTATCTCGTCGTAACCAAACATGTTCCCGTACTCAACAGAACGCTGCTGAATTTCAACATCCAAACTGTCAGAATATGATTGGAGGATTCGGCGAATACGTTCGACTTGCGCAGCATTGTCGATACGGGTGGTCAGTTTCATTACGGCAGTAATGATATATTCTTTCACGCTAGATGTAGCGTAAGCGCTCGTAAGGATGGTTGAGAGGAGGTCGACGATATCGGATTCCGATACCTTCACCACTGATTCTTCTTCTTCGTATTGCCCACCCTTCAGCAACAAGTCTCCATACTCCCCTAGAGTCCAAGCGCCTGCAAGTGTGAGTGCCTCTTGCGTGATGTCCGCTTTGAGGGCAGAATAAAGCTTCTGCACACAATAGGTTTGGAGTTCGGCAGAGTTGGCGATAAGACGGATAAAACTTGATAAAATGTGTTCCTTGACGTAGTTTCCAGCCTTGATCACATACGAAGATTAGCACTATTTTCTACAATTATTTTGCCACAAGAAAACATACCAACTTCAGAACCCGTAAAACGGTGTCAATATGCCACCTCTTTGTCGGCGCAAAACGCTCTGCAGCGATACAAATTTGGGTTGTCATCACAGGCTTAAACTCGTTGTTCGCAACCTCCAAGAAGGCCAGTAACTCTCTTATCAATACTCTGATGTTGCTCTCATTGATCAGTGTAAATGAGAGGTCCAAGGCACGGCGGCGGATAGAAATATCGGGGTCCCGTAAACAGTCCAAGATGGTGTTTCGATGCCTCTGTACTGCATTTGGCTCAACAGCAACAACTTTGATAAGAGTGTTCAAAGCCACATAACGGATATTGTTATCCTTGTTGGTCAAAAACTTTCCAAGAATATTGACGCCCAACACACGCAATCCACTGTCCGCCTCAATATCTAAAATGGTTAAGACAGCCTCGTAAAGTATCGAGTTTCCAACGTTTTTAGTGGAATCGGTGTTGGTAGCGACCTGGGCAAGGATATCGTTGATTTGTTCGCTGACTTGAGCGTCGCCCTTTCCAAGTACCCTTAACAACCTTAAAATTTTAACCTGCAGGAACGGATCTGTTATGCCAGTAACATCGTGCTCAGGCGCATACCCTGAGCTGGTCAGACTTTTTAGTTGGCGAACGAGGACAGTCGTGAACTGTCTAAACTGGCTGACTAAATTCGGATCATGTTGGCAAAGATCTGTGACCAAAGTCACTCCGCAGAGCAAAACTCCATGGTTCCGATCCTGTAGCAACAGCTTCGTTTTATCAATGAAGTGTTCCTGCAGATCCGGGACCTTGCGAATAATTCGCATGGCGCAAATAGCGGCTTTGCGACGAATGTATGGGTTGGCGGTTGATAAAAGATTTTCGACTTCTTGGAAAAGATCCCTGGCCATTTCCGTCGAGGCGATATTACCAAGGGTACACAACGCTAACCCTACTACGTATTGATTGGAATGCTCTAAATCACTAGTAGGACGTCCCAGTGGTAAGCAAGCATTTCCTCGAACACCGTAGACTAAAACGAACGGCTTGCGACGAACTTTTTTAAAGAGTTTGTGACAAGTGTCAAGACCTCCTGGTTCTCATCCAGCAGTAACATGGTACCCAGGTAACCCAGCCGCTTATCCGCAAATCTCGGGGAGGCTAACAGTTTCAGACACTCGATCTGCCCAAAGTGCGTCCTTTCACCCAAGGTGAAGAGGTATAATAGCTTCGCCACATTATTCCTCCTGCGGCGGCCCATCAGCAAACAGGATAACGGAGGTGAGGCTAGCGGATGACAAACCGGACATTGGAGTCCCCGGATTCCTCTCGGAATGAAGCTCTAATAGCAGCGCTCTCTTTCTGGATGACGCCTCTCTCGTCGTTCAGTGTCTTCGCACTCCGCACGGCTCGTATGAATTGCTTCACTGCCTGTAGTTAGCTCAATCCATCCATCACAGGATATCTTCACATACAGGAACTCATTGTTGCGGGGTAGCGGTAGGCGGGCGAGGTTGATGGTTCAGGAGAGGTGTGTTGAAGGGGAAAGAGTTCTAGTCGACGGGACCGCACCCGAGGGATAGGGAATGACGGGTCGATACGGAGGAGAGGAGGATAACAGGATAAAGATTTCCTGGGAGGAGGACTTGTAACTCCGGGGCACCTGCCGTGGATGATAGACGATAAACTATTGTGAACTGCCACGAAGGTAAGTTGTGTTACTTGCTGCAGGGGTTAGTGGGGTTTATCTAGCCGCCCACCTTACATAATCAATCATCTCCCTATTCAAGCCATGACGCCAAGACATAGGATTCAGGTATGATAATTCCGAAACTCCCCTTGACCTACGGTAAGCAATGTGTTACAGAGATGCGCGGTGCAGAGTCCTTACAAGTGGATTATGGTATTTCACTTCTCCCAGGCACTGTTTCCGTGGATGCTGTCAGGTAATAGGATATTATGACAACAAAACCGTGCTATGGTACTAACCTAACAAGACGCTTTATGATACAACGCAATAAAAATCGGTGTGGTCAAAAGAGGTACCTTTCTACAAGTCCCCCAAAGCTTTAGCATGGTAGAATACCGTACTGGCACAGTGCAAGTGCAAGCACCAAAACATCCTCCTACCTCCAGGTTCCTTAAAAAATACTGGAACCCCCACCCAAATCATTGGGCAGGCCAGGATCACGAAATATAAGGTTGAAAGAAAAACAAGACATGAGAGAAATAGGAAAAAAAAAAAAGGATCAAGAGATAGAAGCCATAAGAGATGGACCGCGCAAAAAATAAAGGCGGTGTGAGAACTAAAAGGTTCTGAACATGGTGAAAAAAGGACATCGTGAAGGAGTAGAGAAATACCAGCATAAGAGAAAGGTTATGCGTTACTCTAAGAGCTCCTCAGCAAAAGTGTCTAGCAAGACCAGCGAAAAAGCACCCTTCCATTTCTTTAAGAAATTCCTGTTTGAGTAAAGCCAACTCAAGCTTGCCTTGAATGATACCAGCTCAATTTTCCAACCCCTGTCAAGACATCTCTCGACGACCTTGAAGAAACCAGGGCTGTACTCTCCTTGAGCTGCATCGCCACTAGCCAAGACAATAGTAGTCGGCGTGAAATCCAGAACGCTCTCTAAAATCTTGAGATGAAGGATTTCGTCAACTGCTTGCTCTACCTTCCGGGTGCGCCGTTTGTGTGCGCCCTCAGAACCCGAAGAAGAGGAGTATTTTGTATTCGCCTGTTCCTTTTCTACTCTCTCGAGCAGACTAACCTCGTAGCCAAGAGAACGAGCTTCGAGTGCGGACACGGTTGTTGGCGAACTTCCGACATATGCCCTCTTGGAACATGTCCGTCCCCTCTCGAGGATAAGAGATAAGCCATGGAAGGAAAACGCGGGCTGGCGAACGGCCGCGCCGCGGGGATACCCCCTGCGCCTCTTGATGCACTCGTAAAATCCGATCAGGATCTGAAGTTCGATCAGGTCAGCTTTGAATAGAAACCGGATGCAGGCGGAAAATACATTGGAAGCATCGACAAACACATGAATGTCGGTGTCCGAGGGGTCCCTCGCACCTGACCGGAGACCAGGGCGAGTAAGGAGACGGGAAGCCTGAGCAGGGAATAGTGAAAGTATCTTCTGGACTAGTTGCGCTTTCCTCTCAACCGAGGTCATCAGCGACCGAATTACAGGTCGCTTATCAAATGGATCCTCAAGATGGACATTTGCAACCACACTTGGCACTGGTTGCTGGAACACTGGTGGCAGAGGAGCCGGTATTTCCATCGCTCTCGGCCTCACCGCCGGTAGGGTCTCCTCGGTAACCGCATCGACCTTAGAGGAGCATGAGTGGCGCTTCTTACGCTTTCTTCTCGGCGATGGATGGATTTGAGTGGGGGGGAAGGAATCGTCCTCGTCAGTAGTTGAGCACGGCTCAGGCGAGGAGCCCAAAAAATCCCAGAGGGGAGTAAAATCACCAAGGGACCTGTGAGGAGTAGCTCCGCTAATTTTATCAGGATTGATGACTAGGGGGTTGCTGTTTTGATTGGTGGCCAGGGCATCACTGAGAGCTATGACAGTGGAGAAATTGAATATGGTGGTAGTTGCGTCAGCCATGTGTAGCTGAATGGGTCTCTTGCCTCTTCTAATTGTGCGTTTGTTGTTGGGGCACGATATCTTTTCTATGAGTAGTTCGAGTCGGGAGGGCGTGGGCGAACCGGAAAGACGGACATGGGTGTGGATAGTATTTTCGAGACGGGAGTGTTTGTTTACTTGGGCGACGGAGGGAAAGAGGGTAGGGTGGGAGAGGGACAGGAGGGAAGGGGATGTTAAATAGGCCGCGAGCTAAATGAGGGTTAAGGAGCTAGGCTGCCAACATGGAGGTGTGGACAGTGTGGGGGGGGGGGGATCGTTGGTGGGTTTGATGCGAAGTGCTGTAAGAGAGGTTGCGACGGACGAGAGAAAGAGGAGCGAAGAGGGTGGTGGCCAAACACTGACACACACGTCGGTTCCCGATCTTGGGCGTCCTTGATTCCCGATACCCGGCAATTCGAAATCCGTGACCCACTTCACCCTTTGTCGAGGTAATTTTCGTACTGGGGGGGGGGTTTTGCAGCATGATGATTAGGATAAGTTAGCGGTAGGGTACGGCAGTCCACAGTAATGATGCGCTGCCCTGCCGTATGTACCCGTGCTTGACGATACGCTCAGCGTGCTCTCCATTACCCGCCTAAATTGTAAGCGCGGGGGATATGTCTGATAAGGCCCTCCCTCCACAACCACCAACCGGACTTCGGTCACGGTCCACCGGTAGACTACTGGAATTCCAAGTCGGATCGGCAAATCCTCTGGACTACCGTTCCCCTTCCTTCTTGCACTCCTTCACCTCCATCCGCCCCCTTCCCCCCCTTCTGCCCAATACCTTACCCCTACCATACTGCACTCACCCAACCATGGCCATCGACTCATCCGACCCAGCACCTTCCCAATCGGCTGCCCCGACAGCAGCAGTTGCGCTGCTCGCTTCTCCTTCCCCTCCCCCCACCACGACCTTGACCATTCCCATCTCTCGCCCAGCTTCGCCGACCCCTTCCGGGCGTGCGGGAAAGCCAATCCTCCGCCGGGATGGCCCCAACCGTCGAGAAGCTCTTCTGCGTGGTAGAGAAGGGTCACGTCGCCGTCAGCGATGGGAAAACGATCGCTTGTTATCGAACCCCCATGCAACTCCGCCTACCGCGTCGGATTGGGAGGTACGCCCACTCCATCCTCGTCGTCACGTCCCGTATGAATTCGCCTCGCTTTACGATCATCCCAAATTCCTTCACAAAGGAGGCCCTGTCGCGAACCGCCAGGTCACCGAGAGGATGCCAAAAGAATTGAAGGTGCGGATGAAGAAGGCTCGGGGTGCCATTGGACTGCTTAAATCGTTGGAAGAGGACGTGAGAAAACTCGTCCTTGGAGAGCAGGATGAGGAGAAGGCTCGAGAAGGGAGAGAGAAGGACGATGCAGTGGACGAAGTATCAGACGAAGAAATCGTATTCATCAGCAAACGGGCCAAGCACCTCCAACTCAAGACTGAGAAGATCTTGTTTGAGAGCCCGGCCAGCGATCCCGGAGCTTCATTCGGGTTTGTTTCCTCCCCCGAGAATTCACCCTGATTAGAACTAACCCAAAAATCAGACGGTGGCTGGTCCACTCAATCGCCACGTACTACGGCCTCAAAAGCTGGAGCATCACCACTGGTAACCCAGCGAAGAGAATGGCCTATGTAGGGCTCAAGAAGGACCCTGAGAACTCCTCCCTAGCTGTCAGGGGGATGCCAAAGCCATTGTGGCTAATGCTCTGACCATCTAGCTGGGGTTTCTTTTCATATCATACGGTACATGGGGTCAGGGGTCACGGGTGTAATTGGTGTTTTCATAAACGTAGAAATTGGGTGTGCATGTTCTCTGCGCCGCTCATGCTCATTGTAGTTGGACACTTCTGTGACACATACATTACGCAAGGCTGGGATTTATGATACCATACCGAAATTCATACGACTGTGTAGAGTAGTGTTACTCTGACTGCTCCACCCTAGGATAGCCAGAGGCACTTTACCATACATCGAGGTAGGGTAACACAGCGGAACCTTACATCACGGTGCCGCGGAGGCCACCCCACGAATTGCGCCGGTTACTAGTCACGCTTACCCTACGATACACCCTATTATGTATCATAGTCCCATAATTAATTCGTCTCATTGGTATCTTCCCATTGTGTATGGGTACTGTACACAAATTCTGGTAACGAATTCCCCCCCAAGAGCAGCCAACCTACCGTAGTCCTCCCGCAGGCAATATACCAATCAAGAAGTTTCCTCTATCCCTTTGGCTTTTCGTCAATTCCCCCGACTGGCTGTGCCTCGCCCCATACGAGTACAAGTACCAACAGGGAACCCAATCCATGTCCGAAATTTATGCCTGCAACACTATCCTATGGGGCACTAAACCTCTGGTGCTCAGCCAACATGGTCACAGGCACCGTAGCCAATGGAAATTGAGCATTTACTCTCGAGGCCGTGATGGCAGGCACTCCCAGAACTCCCTGGAAATATCAATCACATCACTAGAGACTCACCTGAACAGATAACACACTCCGCTTCACCATCACCGCATCACCGATGGGGCTGAGATCTCTCACGCCATGTAGACTAAGAATCACCAAAATGTCCCGGGAAGGGAGAACCAATGGAATTGTTTGGGGGTTAGGGTTGTGAATCGATTGGTCTACCCCCCACGAGTACAGTACGCCGTCAACCCAGGAAAGCTTTTCTCGACTCTTTGTCGGGAGATACAATACCGGTACCAAAGCCGTAATGAAAACAACTTTATTTATTTATTTTATCTCCTTTTTCTTTTCCTGGGGAGCCACTGGACGCCTGCCGAAATTAAGACAGAGGGGCAGAATGCCCTACCGTATCCGATAGAATGCCAGCCAGCAGAGAAGCCTAAAAAAAAATTCCATGTCACCATATGCTCAGTGGCTCCTTCAGCTAACAAGTGAACTTCTCCCTGGACGAAAACAAGTTCTTTAGTTTTTTTTTTCTCTCGCTTCATAAATAAGCATGCCTGCATCGGTTTGTATGGTATCATACAAACCATAGAACCTTAGCTGCGATAAAATATATCCCACAGGTATCACACCCTATTGTGAAAGTACGATACGGGCAGTAAATCTCCCCAGCGGCTGTGCATAACCAAGCAGAGCTTCACTTGAATAACCTGGGATGCTGATGACAATTAAATCCTACTTTGAATTTCATGACTCGGATCGAGCGAGTAGAGAGATGGAACCGTGCGGAATCTTGGAAGCATGATAGTTCAAATAACAAGCCGTATCTCCCTCCCAAATTTACGACGTAGAGCGGTCGTGACCGTTTCAAACGATAGGGTCATAAACTTGGAGAGACAAAACTCTCACCCAGTAGGCGGACATTTACCGGGATATACGCTGGGACGTTAAGTTGCTAAAAACATTGACTGTTGGCACTCTATCAACACGGGCATTCCATTCCCCCACCCTTAGTTCATTCCAACCGGCATCACATCAGTTTTCCATTTGCGCAGGTACAGTACTGTATCATACTCCACCCACGTTACCGCACTCTAGAATGTCCCCAGAATGCAAAAACATGGAACCCCCCTCCTCCAGGAAACCTCTAAGTTACATTTTTGAGGGCCTCTAAGACAGTTTCTGCTAGGAACCCCATTCTCCAGTGTGGCTTTCAGCTTAGTTGTCTCTTTCAGGATAAATGCTTCATATTCATATTTCTTCCAGAATATAAATCACGGACTCAGTTTTTTTCACTTGTTGTACAGTACCAGTCAGTCAGCAATGACGACTGCTATCATACTCACGCAGTACAATCAATGAGGACTGTCCCCTCGATACTATTGAATTATCACAGGATACCTACCAGTACTAAAGTCGCCGCATTGAAGCCGCTCCCATTTTAGTAGTGGCCCACCAAAAAACTGACTTCAATCCGGCGACTTGAGTACGGGCACAAACCTTCATAGACTAAAATGTTTGGTCACACTGCTCCCATTCTGTTGCCACATAAAAATGACCATTTCCCTTCCATTCCAAAATGGGAGAACAAAATGATCGTTTGGCAACTGCAAAAGGCATCAACCATTTCATTTCGGAATAGCCCTAACACAACAGTTGCCATGTGGTATATCACCTGTGAATATTTATACTATGATACCAATATGATGGTTATTTTCCTGTAGAATAACTCCATCATAATATAATATTATCATCACAAAGCCATCTTTGATTCTAATTCTGGCTTCCAACAATTCAATGGCAACCCAAGCTGAAAATTGTTCCCCCTACGCAAAACACAGGAAATAACAGTGAAACCAGATGGAAGGCAGTCCTGCTCCAGTCAGTATACCCTAACCTAGCATAACATGATGGGGCTACAGTACTCCATCAGACTCTAATGTGCTTGCCGGAAGCGAATCGTGTCAAATCGGCAACGACCGTTTCTACAGGTCCAACCGCTTCACAATAGAGAGTTTGCGCAGGTAGACCTAGGTGGGAGTTATCAACGATGTCACTAGGGGTTGCCACTCGCATGAACAGCCCATCAAACTCCCGACAATTGTTGAGTTTCTTAAATTCCATGTATTTAAGAGGTCAATCCATCAGCCAATTCTCAACTTTCATGAAGTTTCTCTTCTCAGGATTGTCCTTGAGAAGAATAGCTACAAAATCATACCTGAATAGAGGCATAAAAGTGCAGTCCAAGTGGGCATTTGTGGTCCTCAATTCCAGGTCCGATTTTTGGGTTTTTACACCTTGACCAGGTGGGACCAAAGAACCAGGTGGCCAAGCCTTATTGTTAACTTATATTAACACCACCTAGGTCTCACTGCGCAAACTCTCTAGTGGAACGGTCCTGAATAGGACCAGTGCAACTGAACAGGGCTTAAGCCATTCTAGGTCTCTGGGATATCCGATAGTCCTTGAGAGACGATAATCCCGCAACCCATTCCCATTCCCATTCCCATTCCCTCCCTCCCTAAGGATTTGGGAAATAGGTCGATACGACTCAGAACTGATCTCGAAATTCCATGTCCAATACTGCCCTCGGGCAGGATACGAGGGATATCTTGCCTGGCCCTGGGAGGTGACCACAGCGTCGCAAGCGAACCCCCTCCGGTGCGGCCGGTGGCGCGAATATGAGGGTGCAAATGCCCCCAACTACGGGTCCTGAAAACAAGCAAGATGGACAGACAATTCACAGGCGGTAACAATGTTCAAGAGAGAAAAGGGAAGGGGGGGAGAGAAAATATGGAGAATTACAAGTGGCATAGGCGCTGAAAAAAAATTAAAAGTTATCTTTTCTTGGGGTAAAACACCGCTAGGAAGGAAGGAGAACAGTCACACCTCTATCATACATCCCGGACGACCAAAATCCGAAGAAACTGTCCTGTACAAGTACAGTACGGCAAGTGATCAAGGACAACGAGTCAAAGTTTTGGTGTGAAAAAGGGGAGATTAAAATCCGCAGAATTTTCATAACAGGATAGCGAGGCATCACATCCGTGTTGTGGAGTTCGGGGACAGCGACGTTCGACTGAGCCGAGATTTTGAAAAGAAAAAATTGAAAATTGAAAATTATCTGAGGAACGAAACAGGTGACGATCAACTCAAGAGTGAGAAAGGATGATCCAAGATTAAAGTTCGGCAATCCCTCTCCACTACCGAGTACTAGGAACCAATAGGATACGACGTACTCGGAGGTGTATTTACCAACGACCGGAACTAACTTATGGAGACACGGGTCATGCATGATGCTGGGGCCGTGCGCGGGCAGGGGGCTAACTACAAGCACAGAAGAGCAACCCCCCAACGAACGAACCCGTTCCGCATGCTCCCTCCCCTCCCAAGGCACCAACAGCTGCGCAAAAATGAAAAAGAAGAAAAAAAAACAAGGCCCGCGCTCGGTGCACACAAATGTGTCACTACGTGGTGATCCACCACTCCGTGGTATACGATACCTGTCTCCCACATCTCTTGCTATATTAGGATTACACCCTCAATGCGAACGCATCGTTTCCACGATCCCATCACATAATATCACTCGGAGAATTAAGTCCTTGTAGTAGGGTCCCAAGGGCGCCGAAGCCCAAAAGAGGAGGGAAATGATAGTCAAGCTATGCCAGTTTACAGGCCAAGAAAGGCGAGCGAGTTACATCTCCGGCACGCCCCGGCCGGGCAAACCCTTACCATGACCACCCTCTGAAAAACGGCGTCATAACGATGGGCAACCGCTGATCAGCGCTCCTGAAATCGCCGCAAACCTCTTCGGGTCCCCTCCTCTTGCTCTTAGAGTTGGTGCAGATATCAATTCGTCTTTTGATGACACTTCTGTATCGTGTTTGGTTTTGCTCTACGAGCGAGGGTGCATGAACAGTGGGTAGCATCGTCCTGCACAGTGCTGTACTCTACCCGCGCCATAGCCCAAGCTTTTAATTTTTACAATCGGTTTCGAGAGATGAGACCACCAGCCTGGATAATAACCACGAAGGGGGGCTTTTTTTTTGTCCCACCACGCAAATTCCCGGGGGTTTCATCAAAGCAATGTGCTGCCACACCGAGAACTAAGAGGGGATGTCTACGAGACGATATCCGTGAATAGGTCTGCGTTCCCTTCCATGCCTAGCCTCTCGTAGTAACCACTCGTAGTACTGCCTCGGGGAGAGATCGGAACAGGTTTGACCCTTGATATTCATCACAGAGTACTCGTATTTCCGTCCGGCGCTTGTGAGCACCGGAACGACACTTTCCCCCCAGCTCGATCCTTTAACCCTCGCACTGAACACCAAGTACCGATCGTGTAAACGAAATCAAAAGAGTAGTAAACCTGAAACTTACAGCCTAGCCTAGCAACGTTAGTATCATATCTTAACTTCCTAGTTCTGGCCTTCGAATGCTACGCTACGTATAAGATACATCTCTGCCCCGAAACCCATCCTGTGAAAGAGCCCTCGAGCAGTGGTCCACCTTTTCTCATAAAGAAACAGAATATTGAATGAAACACACATAGATTTATATCCCAAGTCCACTCGAACCGCTTCAGGAGGGCCAAGGTTCAGCTCGAATTTTCGCTTCCCACCAGAACATAATCTACGCGATAGCTTCTTGAACAGCGACAGAGTAGCTCCGCAATGAATCCATAACTGAACGCCCATTGTTATTCCTGATATCGAGGCTGGTACCCCCCCGCGAGAGTAGCATCTGTACAACCTTCTCACCCCCCATTCTGGCGGTGATGTGCAATGGTGTGTCGCCGTTGCAGTCCCGTAGATTTGTGCTAGTTCTAGGATTCCCGAGTAGAGCCTGTACCGAGCCGAGCCGCTCATCCTCGTCCGACCTGGTGATGGCAAGATGTAATGGCGTGTTGCCGTCCATGTCTGCCCGATTAACATCCACTCTACTATCATCCGCTAGGAGCTTCACCACCGCCGTTGGGCCATCCCACACAGCACAATGCAGCGGGGTCCGGCAGTTACCGTCGAGGCAATTCACATCAATCCTACCGTCCGCTAGGAGATGTTTGACCATCCTTTCTTGACGGACAGCCAGGTCTCCACGCTGGCAACCAACAGCTAGATGTAGTATGGCGCTACCCTCGGCATCCGAGGCACTAACGTCGACTCTGCTGTCGCCGAGTAGGATCTGCGCCAATTCGGTGCGTAGTGTCCATACCGACAGACCCAGCGGCGCCATTCCGTACCAGTCGCGCGCATTAACGTTTAACCTTCCATCCGCTAGCAGAAGCTTGACCGCCACCTCCTTGTTCCGCCGATCCCAAGACCACCCATGGTTCCGAGGTCCAATGTGTCCCCGCTGCATGTGTAATGGTGTGCGACCTCTTTTGTCCTTTGGATTAACGTCTATTCTATCGTTCTTCAACAATAATCGAACGATATCTGAAAATCCTGCCCGAACAGCACAATGTAACGGTGTCCGACCGTCCTCGTCACTGGAGTTAATGTCAACTCTGCGGTCTCTCAGCAAAGCTCGCGCCGCTGTCGTGTACCCGTAGCACGCCGACGAATTCAGCGGTGTCCTGCCATCCTTGTCCCTAGGATCGGCCTCAATCCTCTCATCTCCCAGCAATAGCCTCACTGTCGCTTCGCAATCCTCAATTGTCGCAACATGAAGTGGTGTCCTGCCCCCCGGGCCGCGCACATTCACCTCGACCCTCTCATCCCTCAATAGCAAGCGTATGGTATCCCGGGAACCCCACCTAACAGCAAAGTGCAGTGGTGTTCGACCATAAAAATCCGGAAAATTGACATCAGTCCTGCGATCATCCAACAGAGTCCGCAACCCGACGATATTCCCATACCGCGCCGCCAAGCCCAATGCCGTCACGCCTTGGGAATCAGGAGCGTTGATATCGACCCCCCCATCAGCAAGCAGGAGCCGCATCACAGCTTCAGATGCACTCCCCGTGCTCACAGCGCTATGTAGCGGCGTTTTCCCTACCCCTATGGTCACACTGAGACTGACTCTCTCATCCCGGAGGAGAGCCCGAACGACCCCTGCACGGCCATTCCTAGATGCAGCGTGCAGTGGATTACCCCACTCCAAAAAGCCACCTATCCCAATCAGGACCTTCTCGTTCGGATTGAAGTCCACATTCTTCCGTGCCAGCAACAGCTCCACAACCTCCGTCCGTCCGAACTGTGAGGCGCGGTATAGCGGCGTACAACCGCGAGTGTCCCGGCACTCTGAATCGACTCCACAACGCAATAGTGTGCGAATGGCTGTCGGACTCTGGGATACCACTGCGTCGCTCAGCAGTGCTCCGTTGCCCACAAAGCTGAGGATCCCCTCGTCCAGGAGACACTGGAGAGCGGCTTCATCCTCACGTTCAGCCGCGGAATAGAGTGCACGCGTGCCGTATTCAGTGGAACGTAGACTAAATATCTTCTTCCTAAGAACGGGTGCTAGGAGGAGTGCAAGGTAGCGGTTCACCCTTAGAAGAGCGTTCAGATTGGGCGCCGAGAGTTCCTCGGACACCTGAAGGACAAGCTCGGTCGGCAAACTGAAGAATGGCATGACTGGATCTTGGTTGAGAGTCCAAAAAGTGCAAGAAAACCATCGATGCGTGGCAGGTCTCTGCACCTACCGTAGCCTCCCTTGCCAAGGTTGATAGTGATAGCCACCGAACTTTAATCTCCCGAGCCCAAGGGCACAGCCGCAACCTAGCCGAGTGGGAGGCGCGTGGCGCAATCCGAGGCGTTGGCAGGACCTCCCGGTGAGGTGCGGGACAATGAAAATCAACCCCCCAGCCAAGGGCGAGTAAGACAAACTTCAAACTGCTCCAGCTCAACAACCACGACCCGCAAGCTCAAAGGCTTCTGTGAATGGCTCGTCTCATGATTGCCTAAAGAACGGCAGAAGTTTTCGAAGAAATAGTGGCCTACCGGGGCGCCAGAGCGGTCCAAAGTTTTGTGATTTCTGTGTGAGAAGTTATCCAATTAATACCTAATACAGTTAACAAATATGCCAATCACTGCCTCATGCAAGGCAACCTAACGAAGTCAGGAAGATGGCAGTCTTAACAGGCGGCCCCGGATCAACATAAGTATGATATACCGGTATATATCGATCTCCATTGTCCGACACCACCGGTATGCCGACAAGTTCCCCACTCGAATAACAGCACGGCTCCAATTACCCCACTCGAGGAGAAGAAGAAACAAATACCCGAGCATCATACCTAGGCGATAAACAAATTAAAAGAGGAAAGCCCGAAAAGCGCTTCCCGTAACGAAGGGTGCGTCGAACGGGCGTCGGCTATCGAAAGTGTGTTAAAGCTATAAAACACATGTGTGGCTATTTCAAGCCCGCCTGCTATCATAGTAATCCGCACAGATGAGAGCCCAGTCAGTGTATCTGATTGAGGCAGAGTAAAGCCAAGAAACGGACTCCCTCTACTGGTACGGTATCGGTACACTACTCTACGAGTACGAGTGCGGCCGACAGATATACTCGTCACGTGATTCTGATAAGAAAGTTTCGGTGAACCTTTTTGCTGCGATTTGTCCTTAGATAAGGCACGTGACGAATATATTTATTGGCCGCACTCGTATTCGTATGACCATCACACCTGGAATCATGAAAACCAAAACCAAAAAATAGTCACTATAAAAAATCTAGCACCAAGGAAATACCAGTATCTAGTATCCAGTCTTGGATACTTATTTCCGTTTTTTTTGACGCCTAAGTTATCCCTTCGTCCGTTCCCGAATCTCACCCACTTTTGGTAGCTTCAGTTGAGTGCGGGATACGGCTCTCCGATGCCTGTTTGGGTGAGATGGTGGCAAACCATTAATTACTGTACTTCCTGGACGAAACAACGTACTCGAGTACAGTACGAGTACGAGTACTGAAATTCTCGGAACTCTCGCCACCCCCCTCACCACCCGACAGCACGTGCTTAGAATCACTGCTGCAGTTTTCATTTGCTCTCAGCGTACCGGTAATTACCGTACTTGTACTTGTAGTGATGGGAGTCCTGGTGTGAACATCCGGCAAGTTCCAGCAACGAACAGTGTTTCTTAATATAAATTCACCAAACGACAACGCAGGCGGCAAGAAGATTTTTTAAGGCTCCCGTCGCGCAGGAGATAGCCTTGTTGCTTGAAAACGAACGAAGGGATTGCTTGGAAGGTCTTTCATATGCGATTTCGCAAGCAAAATCAAAAATCAAAAATAGGATCCCCCCCCCCCCCCCTTTGGAAAACGCCGCCCTGGACTCGCTATTAATTGATGGGGGCAAAAGGAACAGATTTTTTCTCCGTTCGCAACACCCCAAAAAGGGCCCGGGAAGGGCCGAACCCGAACGCCCCCAACGCATCCGAACGCCCTGTTCCCTGGTCAACCAGCCATATGACATCACACCACTCCAGAAAGATAGAGTTCTGCCGCAAAAACCTCCA